TCATTGCGGACCGGTGGGGCGTGGCAGTGCGGCTGCGTTTGGTGCGGTTTGGCAAAATCGTTCTGCACCAGTTTTTGAAGCGGGCAAGTGCATTACTGTATTATATCCTTCGTATCACTCGTTTTCTACCACTTTTTGTCGCATACGCGTTGCAACAAAAAAGGCTGAGAACGGCTTCAACAGTGTGCGCACTCCTTCTGGCTGGCACGCCCCACCGGTCCGCAATGATGAGGACTGTACATTAGGTGGCGATTGTCGCCATTCGCATAAGGTGAGAGCTCCCTAGATGGGAGCTTTTTTTAAAGTTTTCAGGCGATGCACTTTGCGCTAGTACAGTAAGATGTTCACACATTCAACAAAATGTGTTGAACTTATAGAATATTCAAGACGTTCTTTCCAGCTACATGACTAAAAGCCTGCGTTTTTTGCTGAACGCAAGGAAGGAGCGTAGTGGAAGACAGCTTGTTAGTAGGCTGCCGCCTTTCGTTCTCCGCTTCCAAGGAAAAAGAGGTAGTGCGTAGAAGAGAGGAGAAATCAGTGAACAAAAAAAATCAGGAACTAACCTTTTTCGGGTTCACAATAAACCGCGCAAGATATTCAACAGTGAAATAGGCCATGCAACTGAAACAGAAAGAACCGAATATAAAAAATATAAAATAAAAATAATAAAAAGTAAAATAAATGAGGAAAATACTGAGATAATCTGACTTGTCAACATTTTATTGTGTATTATACTCAGTTCATTTTATATTTCGTATTTTTCTGCAGTATTATTACTTAGTACTTTCGGCCCTATTCGCCAGTTACTGCCCTAATCTTCGAAAATCAAGCCAGTTTTCCACCGACTTCTTCGAGGACGGATTTGCCTGGAAACTTGTCCATAGAGGTACATAGTTTGTCCTCCTGAACACAGATATCATATCCACCCAGCCGGAATCCGTCTGGCGCATGCACCACAGGGACTCAACGGGTTTTTTTTGCTAAGGCTGAGTCTAAGCAGATGAAGATTCTGTGAGACAGGGTGCCGCCTTGTCTCACCGTAGTTCGTAACTGCCCTAGCAGACCTTTTGCCACGAAGACTCAGAGTCTGCGCTACATGCTTCGTGGCGCGGACGCTCCTCCCAGAGTTCGCCTACATTCTTCGTGGCGCAGACGCCGAGCGGTTTCATAACAAGTGTTGTGATATTTGTATTCAGGTCATAAAACTACCGAAGAGGAGAAGTGTTTTGCCAAATATGCCTTCGGAGGGAGAACTTGGTGACAAACTGGCCTGATTTCAGAAGACTGGGGCAGTAAATGGACTATATTTTCAACATGATCAATATAATGGAACCACAAGGCGCTGTTTGGCGGCGGGGGGCATTTTGCACTTTGACGACTTCCCATCGACGTGTCGACCCATCTAGACAGCCTCTCGAGCTGACAGGTTTTACCATGATGGCTTGACGAGCTTGCTCCAGCTTCACAAGAGTTCACAGGTTTCACCAGAGTGAGACTGGTAAACCAGTCTTTACAGTAAACCAGAACCAGTGAAGCAACGAAAGCGCAAAATGCCCCCCGTAGACAAACCGCGCCCAATGATTTTTTCAATATGGAATATTGCACCATATGCGTAGACTCCAGCGCTGAAACGTTCGCGCTAATACTTTGCCTAGGGGTTAATAAGTGGCGCGAGTATCATACCACAGTGGCCTATGGCATCCAGATTTGCTAGCGGCGCCACGTGGCGCGTAAATTTGGCGCTTTCTTTTTCGTTTTATGTCAAACAAAACCAAACTTGGCCTGGATGACCAATGTTACATACATTCGTTCTTATGATCTGCAAAATCGGGGTCTTCAGGGACGAATTTCTCCTTTCCCTTTTTAATATTTCCTTAGGGACCTATTGAGTGTAGATTCGGCACTCTTTTTCAGCATCTGCATTAAAAATGAGGCCATGATCGCGGCTATGACTCAAATTACACCCGAATGAAAGTTCCGAATTTTTGTGCCATTATAAATGTCTAACCTAAAGTTTCAATAAATTTTGCAATCGAAAACTTACCACATTTCCAACCATTGAAGGACTTGATGTGGTTCCTTGTGATCGTCTTGAAGTTCTGGCATCGAGCTAAGAATCAAACCTGTGAAAGAGGGGTTGTAGATCAGAAGAAGTGAACAAATTCATATTTCTGCATTTTTATTGTGAAAGCGGATGTGGTCTCATCTGGGTAAGGTAGAACTTGTGAGGGGTAAAAAAGAAGTGAAGTCCGTACAGAGCCCTATAGATGTTTGCGGATTAGTCTGCCAGTGTGGAGGAGGAGGAGCGTTATGTAAACTCTTGCAAATGTGCCGGGCGATTTTGTAATCCCGCGGAGCTGGAATTAGGTGAAATTTTCGTTCAGTAATTTTTTTCCCATCCAGCTTCACTTCATCGCTACGTTCGGGCGTCCAGGAAAGGGGCTGAAGCGGCACCAGGAGCGGCACAGCGGCTGGCATGGGCGAAACGGGTCATCTGTGATGTTGAGTGTATTTCTTTCCCCAATATTTGTTTCTTTGTTTCTAATGTGCAGGATGACTTCATTGATAACGACTGTACCCATTGGTAAAAAATAGGCAGGAGGAGGGCTCCGGAGTAGTTTAGCGGGGCCGCGCGCCATGTCTGATATGCGAGTCCATACTGCACGTGACTTCAGTCTTTTGCTATCTCCTATCCCGCACCTGTCCGGGGATCAGTCATTGGGAAGGAAACGTGCGGGATCAGGTCCGGCTAGAATCTTCGTCCCCGAGTCGCAATCGTTACTTTGCACCTTCCAGCTCACCGTGGCGTTATACTGTAGCCATAGCACAAACTTCCATTGGGGAAAAAATTTCGCAAAACGCGGCTCTCCTTGCAACTTCCTCCTTTTACGAACACCCATCCTACCTGCCATCTTCCTGAAGTCTTGCAACTTCTTATCATTTCTCGGAGTTTTTCTTTGCAAAAATCCTTCATTTTCCTCCCTCCCAACCCTCAAAAAAACCGTCGTTGATCGAGGGAGGAGGGGAGGGGAGGGGGTAGAATGGGTGACCGCACTATGAAAAGGGAAAATCCGATAAATATTAGCAAAAGGGAACACTTTTTACAAAAGTAAATACGATCCCTATGAGTGAATTTTACCCCACTCGCGCTCTCGTTGAGACTAGGAATCTCCAACGTACGACACTCACAAGTTTTCCTGATTGTAGTGTTAGGACGAAAATAGAGCGCAGCATAATCTCGCAGCGCGACTTGCCATACCGCGTGGCTCGCTGAGCTACGTTACCCCGGGTGATGTAGGAGAGCCAGGAAACTGTAACCCCCCCCCCTACAATAAACTGTTTCT